AACACAACTTCGCATCAAGCGTCTGTAAACTAATGGCCGATCGACAAGTGAAGTTTGACTTGCAACTAGCAAACGATTTTGGGCTCCCTGGAAATGCTCTCAATATAGCAGACATGCTTCATGGCATTGTGGATGACCAGCCTGTGCGGGAATTAGCAGCAAGAGGAATATATTATGCTGAGCAAACTCTAGACGAGGATTCGTCACTCAAATCCTGGAATGAGGTACGTACGAAAAGGAGAGACCCAAAGGCATCTCCAGCATGGTTCCACAATGTTCAAAATGCCCTTCATGAGTCCCTTTACACACACAACTTTATCGAAGTATGGTGTAGAGACAAAAAGAACATTCTTCAGAGACTAGACGAAGAGGAAGAGAGAGATTTAAGGGAGCTCCAACAGCTAAATGAGGCTGAAAACAATGAGAGAGCAGATGAACTACTCACAGAAGACAATATGTTGGAGGAGCAGCCCACTGAGGATGATGAGGATGATGAAGTTGGATATATAAGTTACCTCAGTGACGTGGAAGAAGACCCCAGAGAGCCACTTGATCCCCTAAGTGTAGAACAGCGGGAGGAAAGAGAAAGAAGAGCACAGTGTTACATACAAGAGGGTATGCAGGAGTATGAAGGATACACTGAGTCTGATCGCGAACTCCAAAAAGAATACTTGCGAGAAAATTTTGAAAAAAGAGAGCGTTTGAGAGAAAAAGAGCGCGAAGCTAACGAGAGGCATAGGCTGTGGAAAGATCCTCAAGGAAGGAAAATGTTACAATTTCGCGACCGTTTGGAAAGAGGGAAGAGGGAGCAATGGTTGCTAAGAAAAATAGAGCAAGAGAGGAAAAAAGAAGAGGCGGAGAGAAGGAGAGTGTGGCGACGTGAACAGTGGGTGCAAGCCAAGCAAGAAGCCGCACACTCGAAGGCTATCGAAAGAGCTCGCCGTCAAGAACGCCTACGGTTACAGGCTAGGTTTCAAAGGCTCGATGAACAAGGAAGAAGAGAACAGCGACGACGAGCGGCTTTCAACCGAGCAAGACGTAGAGCACAAGAGCGAAACAAGATACGTGGACGCCATGAACTCGATGAACAAGCTCTCGATAGGAGGCTCAGGACGAAAGCGCAGAAGAGATGGACTCCTCAAGAACAAGGAATAATAAAATCCCAGAGGGTCATCATCGGTGGTTTGGCTCCTCTGAGTGCCTAGGTGTAGAGATCCCACAGGTTGACATGGACAATATACTGCGTCAAAGAGAGAAACTATCAACGATGAGTCAGCTAACACTTTACTCCGATGGGTCCCTTGAAGAGGCAGGAAGAAGGGCGGCGCGGATGGCTTTCGGGTGGTGGCTCAGATAGGCCCAGAAAGCTTCTCAAATGTAGTTTCAGGTAGAGTCGATGGGTATGCTTCATCCACCAAGGCAGAGCTAGTAGGACTGTACGCAGCCATTCTAGTCAGTCCCCGTAACGTTCCAACGACTGTCTACATAGACAACATGGCGGTAGTGGTTCAGTTCAAGGACCTTGCTCAAAAGCGAGAAGCAAGCACTGAACGGCAGCGATTGCGATCCAAGTACGCAGTGTGGTGGGCAGCCATTTCGAGAGCGCTCTTTAAGCAGGGCGGGAAGGTAACTGTGAAATGGGTCAAGGGCCATGCTGGGAATAGAGGCAATATAAGGGCAGACCAAGCCGCCAAAGATGCTCATTTTAGCGAAATGTGGACAATCAAAGGACTGGAACACAACGATCTGCGCTGCCACGCTATTTTCGAGAACGAGGTGGTGGAGGATGATCTTAGACACCTGCTAAAACTCCAATCAGCAGTGAGAACACATTACTTGTGGGCGTCTCAGAACAGAGTCAGGAATTATATTGCAGACTGAAAAATATTTAGACAGTAGTTATCAGAAGCTAAGATAAGTGAGAATAAGATGTGGGTCCACACACCACATCCATGGGGTATTTATTCATTTTCTGGTAGAGAGACTCGTACCAAGTAACTACATATCTATCTAGAAGCGACATGGGATTATTCAGGAACCATGTCGTGTTTTGTCGCGTCTCTAGTGACGCGTTATTATTATTATTATATTTTTCTTAGCGTATTAATTTTGGGAATTCCCCTAGTGTGTTCCTAGTGTGTTTTTAGTATTTTTCTTAACCTTATAGCTGGGCCGTTATTATCTTGTATATTGAAATATACAACACAGACTGGCGAGAAGTAGAATGGAAAGCAAGCCTGCATATTCTTCACGATGGCAACACGCCTAGAGGCCTCTTCACCAGCCCAGCAGATTGTCACAAGAGAGCGCACAGTAATAAAAGGTCCATGGTATGCTTCCTACACTCACTTATATGAGGCAGTGGGACCGGACCTTATGAGACTGACATCTGCAGGATGTGTGAACAGGAGCAGGAGAATAGAACACCTCTGGCGATGTCCATGACACTGGACGAGCAATTGAAAGGTTGGAAGCAGGCCATAAATCATCACGAAGGATGGCAAAAGAGCATTAGTAAGGAGAAGAAGCTCTGGAAGACAAAAAGGGAAAACACAGGAGCCAAACTGAATAAAGGAGCCCTCGTTTACACCTGTAGCGACAACGTGATTTGGGCTCTTTGGAAGCGATGTTCAAGGGCGTCAGAGAGATTCGACATGCAAGCGCTCTGTTTGGTGAGGAAGAGTGGATATGGGCGGAGGAACGAGGGTGAGGATGCCCACTGGACTGTCCAAGACTTGTACCACGGTTTGGTGCCGAAGGAGCTGATACAAAAATGGAAGACGATCTTCAGAACCACAGCATCGATCTCAAGGTACATTGTTTGCCGCTTTGTCAAGTCAATCGAGGAACTCGGCAGGACTGAAATCTGGAACAGACGCTGCAAAGTCACCGTCAACTGGGAAAGAGACAATGGCATCACCTCTGTGAGCAAACGCGCCAGGGGACGCAACTGTTGGAGGCACAGACGTAGCAGAGTGAATTCTTTGGCTCTCACCAGGGAAACAAGAACAGCAGATGTAAGCGATGCAGATCAGGGGGCAAGGGATGGCGGCAAGCTCCGCAGCAGGTGGAATTGGCGATTAGGAGCGCCTGGAAAGCTGTAAATTTTTGATATTGAGGCAGCGGCTAAAGGTGACCTTCCACACAGCAGGTAAGTAGGGTAGAGCCATGCCGCACATCTCCGGGACACAAGGAAGTCTACTCAATGCTGACGTGGTTTATGAACAGGATTGTAGTACTGTGGCAGTAAAGTGCGGCTTCGGTCGATTATTAGGATACCGCTTTATTTGCACCCCAGAATGGGGCACCCATTTTAGAGCTAACATCATAAAAATCTACATGCCTCGTGGGTCTTGTTATCAAAAAAAAAAAAAAAAAGGTATAAACAGAGAAATACAAATGATCCACTGACATGAAGCGCCAAGGTTCACCGGAAGGATATTGGCGGAGCCATCTGGAGGCAGGCTTCCATTAGTGATAACATTTCCAAAGAACATAGAAAACAAGTAATGCAGAGAGCTCCTGAAGAACAAGGTTGGCCATTGCTTATTCTGGCCAAGTTTATCCAGAGAGGTTGAACGGTGATATTGAACCAAGTGGACCAAGTAGGCCGTACCATTATGGCCCTAACAATTTCTCGCTGGACTGCAAAGATATTTTAAAGCTTGACCATTTGACTATGGCCACTATATAAGGGTCAAAAATATATTACAACAGCGTGCGCAGCATCGAAGACCATTTGTAAAACAACGCGTTGCGAATCGGTATAGTCTACATCATCAATTGGTGGGCGAACTAGGGGCCGAGGCTGAACGAGCAGAGCTTGAATGTGGCAAAGAAGGGGTTGTAAAGCAACAGCGGACATCGAGGGCGCTTCAAAAGATGTTAAGACGATAAATGGCAGTAAAAGTGTCCGTGAAAGAAATGCAGCTATGCGAGCAAAAGGGACGAGCTAGGATTGAAGGATGAAGGCAGCTAACAAAGGCGGTAGGGGTGATAAGTGACGCAAGGATATCTATACTAGTAGAGCATTCAGCTTCGCCCAGACGGCTATGATCAATGTGAACACAGTATCACATTATAGTAGCATTCAGCCTATAAACATCACTCTTAACTATACCTTAATAATATCATCGTTTATCTTCACTACCTGCCACACACAAGCATGATCAGTGACGTATCTGTAGTGACTATGCCCATTCAGGACCAAGACTTAGGAGACACTATCTATTGACGATCAGCATGAAAGTATCACCAGCGCGCGCCAAACTCTGTTGTGTGCTCGCGACGACTCTCAACAGCCTTGAGTTACAGTGGCCGATGTATTCATAGATGAAGATCAGTCCAAGGGCGTTGATTCAGCAACGACAGACATTAATAAGTCGGCTAAGGCAGTACTCAGCTAGTGTATAATGATGGACAATAGTGGATCAAGCTTAAAAAGCACAAGAAGAAGTTAGAGCAAAATGGGTGTATAGCCATGCAGGGTATGTCGGAAATGAGGTTGTAGACAGGCCAGCAAAGACAGCCTATGCGGCTATATTAGGTCTTTGGTAGGAGCAATACCACGGCATTAGGTACTATACTTTGATCACAAACAGCTGCTGGATAAGGATGCAGCAAAAAGTTGTTTATAACAAGCATGAAGCTACACTTCCCTTTCCCATGTGGTTATCCGTTAGTCTTAAAATAAAAAAATTAAGATAAATAAAAAAAAGGGTTTTCTTGCCACAGTCCACTCCGGTAGATGGAACACCGAGTGTGGCCTTAACCAGATAAACCAGATAAGTCTTGGATTTTTGGCCATTTGGGGTAGTCAAATTAATAATTTGCATTTAAAAAAAGGTTGTTTGCCTTCTGAATATATGGGTATGCTCTTGAAAGCTACAAGGCCAAAAAGCCTATTCCTTAAGACTTGTAAATATAAAGAGTTTCCATAGTAATTAGGGCTTCTCGTTAATCGGTACAAGCCTTTTTTTCATTCCAGCCAAGTATTACAGTTATCTAATATGGGCATCGCTCTCGACTTTAAAATCCTTGAAAGATTGCTCTAGAGACATGTAAAGCTTCGTTGTACTCGGTTCTCCTTTCAGAAACGCCCCTATCTCATCAAGTCCTTGTCGGAAGATGTAGTGCGCTAAATTTAATTAATCATGGAAGCATAGGTCATGAATTTTGAATCATTCGTTTTTAGTGTGCATGGCCATGAATAGTCTTTTTTTTTTTTTTTTTTTTTTTTGATACCTTCATAGTGAGCCGTCCGTTAGCCCAATTCCGCTCTATGAATGTGTTGTTTCTTGTGCCTACCCCAGCCCCAGCCCCAGTCCCAGTCCTTATTGCGCCTAAACCTGCACCTATCCATGAACTCTCTTCAGAGCTACAAGACATTTTCGTAGCCATGTAAAGGCTATAGTAGGCTGCCGTGAGCAAGGCTTGGTAGCAAGTCTTCAACTGAGCGAGATCTTCAGCCGTAATCATGTGTATTAACTCTGGATCTCGCTCAAGTTGAACAGTAAGGTCAGCAAACGCATCCTGCAGAAGCCAAAGTGGCATAACTGAAGTTGAAACAGACTTAGATGACATGCGTGTCGAAGAGATATCCGAGATTGGTGAGGTAGTCAGAACATATTCTGCGTTTGCTTTTTCACTGGTGGCAATCTTTGCTGTTTTGGGGTGACATTTTATCACTTGAAGATGGCGGCATTGGTAGTGATGGTAGTGTCGTGTGAAATCGTAGACCAAGGGCCATGGCTATCCCAAAAGAACCCAAAAAAAGGCCTATATTAGCAACGAGATAGGCCTTAAATGCCTAAAATTGATTTTTTAGCCCTTTTACCTCGCTTCTGAATATTTCTTGATGATTTTGAGAAGCTCTGTCCGTGCCGGTGACTTCTTTTCTGCAGCCATTGTTAATAGCATATTGTTATTGTCTTATTGTTACTAGTAAAGGGTGAGAAGGAGAGAGTGTGTGGTGCAAATGAAGAGTGAAATTTGTGTTATCCATTTACTGCGGCTTGGCTCGAACATGTAAAAAAAAAACTGAAACATCTTTCTGTCCTACCATATTGAAACGCATCCAAAAGAAACTCGAGATGGTGCTTCACGATCAGTAAGTTTCGTCGCGTTTTTTTTCTATTCATTCCAAGGACGCTGTGCATGCTGTGAGCCTTGTGCAACACATGGTACTACAACAACCTCAACTGCTGACTCAATCCAAACTCCTGGAAAAGCATCAAAAATATAGATTGCCATATCCAACAGTCAACCGCCTGGTCGACTAGCGACCAATATACATCCTTTGCCACACATTCGATACTATTAGATAGTCTTATAGTGACATAAAGCATAAATAGGGGCAGTGCTTGAATCGCAGTGGTGATACAAAGGTGGCACCAGCCTCCATCTTGCAGCAGCAGATCTCATCAATGTTTCTCTTGCAATTTATAGTTGCATAATCTTTGGTAGCGACCAGGAAGAATCATGCCCTCTCATTTCGTTTTCTCAGGGACAAGCATAAAAAGAGAGCTCGTCTTCCTTGCATTTTACTTGCTTGCTTGCTGATTGTCCTCGTTCCTCCCTTGTCTCCACTCTAGTCTTTTCTTTACTACTTGTCTTATTTACACCATCGAATCATTTTCTACTTCAGCTTCGTGAAAGCATAGAATGGAAGGACAGCCCATTCCCATAACTAACGGGTTTACACTCCCTAGGTCCTTTGGTTCGCTCCATAGCAGCTCAGCTCAAGCAGCGATGGCGAAACTGAAATCCCTTCATTCAGTCCAAGCTCATTTGGCTCGCTTACACCAATTTCCCCTCCAAGTGCATTTCATCCACGAAAGAAATGTAATTGCATTGCACATTTGCTGTCTTTTTTTTTCTTTTTTTTTTTAGGAGATTCTTTTCAAACTTTTTTTTTTTTTTTTTTTTTTTTTTTTTGAATGGGATGGCGGAATGAAATTGTAGACATCATTGGTGTATGTGCAATGGATGACAAAGCTCGTTCAAAGCCCATGCGTAACATTCTGGACCGTCTGCTAAACAGTGGACCCTTCGAGGCTATAATCTTCGGCGACAAATGTATCCTTGATGAAGGTATGTTACTCAACGATTATGAGAATTGTATGGGTCTGAGCGTGCAGAATCAGATGTGATAGGTCCAAAACATGGGAATGGACTTGATAGGATAAGCATGGCCAGGAAAAGAAAAAAAGAGTTGTCTCTAAATGTTTTCTCGCTTTCCGATATAGATGTCAAAGCATGGCCAGCATGCGACTTCTTTATTTCGTTTTTTTCAAAAGGCTTTCCACTCCGCAAGTCTATAGAATATGTTAAACTCAGAACACCATTTTGTGTAAACGAGGTTGACATGCAAACAGTTCTTTGGGACCGCAGGCTTGTGCTCGAAATTATGGACCAGATCGGTGTACAAACACCTAAGCGGCTAACGATGGATCGCGATGGCGGGCCTGGTTGGATGAGAGAGTTTTGCAAAAATTGAAACTAAGAGGCGTAAGTGTTCCGAGCACTCGATCAAAGCCAGAGTTCAAGATCATTGATCAAGATACAATACAGATCGGGGATCAGATCATGACAAAGCCCTTCGTAGAGAAGCCTGTCTCTGGTGAAGATCATAACATTCATGTTTACTATCATTCTTCAGCTGGAGGAGGAGGGAGACGCCTCTTCCGCAAGGTAATATAGCTAGCAAACTGAATACGTTACACTGTGAAGAGCATTAAATGGTCATAAGGACACTTTCTAACATTTGCCGTCTCATTTTTCATACGGTATTAATCAAGGTCGCCAACAAATCGAGTGAGTTTGACCCAGATCTCAATACGCCTAGAATAGACGGATCATATATCTATGAGGAGTTTTTGGATGTTGACAATGCTGAGGATATCAAAGTCTATACTATTGGCGACCAGTTTGTGTATGCAGAGACTAGAAAGTAAGTTTATTTTTAAAATAAAACTTTATGTTGTCGGGAAGTTAATCAGAGCATGCCATCCAACTAACGACTCTACAGATCTCCTGTGGTAGATGGGCATGTTCGTAGGAATACTGATGGGAGAGAGATTCGCTATGTCGCCCAGCTCACGCCTGAGGAGAAATCAATGGCTGCAAGCATCTGCAAGGTCTTTGGACAACGTGTCTGCGGATTCGATCTTTTGCGTGTGTCTGGCAAATCCTATGTTATTGACGTCAACGGATGGTCGTTTGTCAAAGGCAACAATTACTATTACAATAATTGCGCTAGAATCCTTCAGGACGTTTTTTTGCGTAATGCACGTCAACGCAAGCTGTCCGAAGTTGTCTTCCCCAGAGAACTCAGTGCTGAAAATTCGTGGCGGCTGAAGGCATTCGTTTCTGTCTTCAGACACGCTGATAGGACGCCAAAGCAAAAGATGAAGTTCACATTCAGTTCAGCGCCATTCCGGGAGCTTTTGAACGGTGGAGGTGAAGAAGTGATCATTCGGAATGCAAAGGACCTGAAGCTGGTCTGTGCAGCAGCCGAGCAGGCAATGGAAGAAGGGCTTGAGGACAGTAGTAGGTTGATGCTGCTCAAGATATCCTTGACAAGAAGTCAAATTTACCAGGCACCAAAGTTCAAGTCAAGCCCACTATTACCAAAGATGAAGAAGGCAACTCCAAGTCAGTCAAGCTACAGATTATTGTCAAATGGGGAGGGGAGGTGGGTAAAAGCGTTGTTAGAACAAACATGTGCTATATCTTTCTTTCCGAGTAGTCATGGTGCATTGACATTTTTGCTTCTATCTTTTTTTCCATTTTCTAGTTCACACATGCTGCTAAGTATCAATCCAGAGATTTGGGTGACAATCTCCGCAAAGATCTACAGATCATGAACAAGCAAGTCTTGGACGATGTCAAGATCTTCACTTCTTCAGAGCGTCGGGTCCGTGCTACTGCTGAGTTGTTCACGCAGCGATTCCTTGATATTAGAGAGGTTCCAAAAGATATGCTTTTAATTCGAAAAGAGATGCTCGATGACAGCAATGCTGCGAAGGAAAAGACTGATATCGTCAAGAAGGAGCTTCACGACCTGCTGCAGCCCGACAATGCAGATAAGATTGCAAAGATATGGCCAAAGGGTGCGACAGATCCAGGAGAAATTGTGCAAGATATCATTGTGACTATGAGGAAACTTCGAGAGATCATGCGGAGGAATTTCAAGATCTTAGATATCGATTCTATTCAAAGATCGTGGTGCTGCTATGAAGATCCATCACTGTTTTATGAGCGTTGGGAAAAGATCTTTGGCGAATTTGCGGATGGAGATCGTGATGACTTTGATCCATCGAAGGTATCGGACCTGTATGATTCATTAAAATATGATGCACTGCACAACCGGACCTTCCTAGAGAAAATTTTTATCGATTCAGAGTCAGATAGTGGTATGGGACCTCTCAAGGACCTTTACTCCAAAGCCAAGATCCTCTTCGACTTTGTGGCTCCACTGGAGTATGGCATCAGCGAGGAAGATCGTCTCGAAATTGGGCTACTGACTAGTATGCCACTGATCAAACAAATTGTTGAAGACCTGGAGTCATGCAAACGTCCAGATGCGGCGCCATGCACGCGCCTTTACTTTACAAAAGGTAATACACCGCCAAATTAGCTTGGCATATCAAACCAAGTCATATACTGATGTTAGGTGTTTTTACATTATTTTATTTTTTATTTTTATTTTAGAGTCCCATGTCCATACCTTACTCAACATTGTCTATTTGTCGGGGATCCCAACGCGCCTTAGCAAGAGCAAGATCCCAGAGTTGGATTGTAAGTAGAAAGATACAGGTCAATTGCTTCACTTTATTTTCCTACAAGATGAATTATCGTACTCACATAAAGATGTATTCCAAAATAGACTTGACACAAATCACATTCGAATTGTACGAAAGGAGTAGCCCTGTTATGCCGGGTAATGGGTCGAGGTTAATGACTGGATCGTCTCTCCATGATGAAAATCAACACTTCCCCAGTTCGTCTCCGGAGTATTCTCTGCGCATCGGATTCTCGCCCGGAGCAGGAAACCCCAATATTTTAGATCTTCATATGGACTCAAAACACTGTCTCTCTGTTATGCAGCGCCGCAACCTGACCGACCATTCCCTCTTGACGACGCATTGCGGTACTACAAGACCCAGATAGAGAACCCAAAGTACAGAAGTGTCAATCGCCGGATTCGCGAGAGTCGAATGCTAGGGCACAGGCTAGTAGTGACGAGAGCGAGGAGGATACAATTGAAGATGAAATCCTTTAATGATCATAGGTTCTCCACCAGTAGAGCGTCCAGGGTTCGTGGAAAGGTTTTTTGAGCCATAAAACACACGGCAACAGCAACAGCTTGATAATATAATAAAAGGCACTGGTTTTCTCCAGTTCTATTTTTTTTATTTTATCTTGTTATATTGTATTTTAAAAATATGTATACAAGACTCTACATTTGTTGCTGCGTCGGTTTTGTCTTGTCGTTCTTCTTAGTGTTGCCTTGTAAAAGCATGGTTACTGTCGTTGCAGAGACCCACTCAGGTTGCCTCACATACTTCGATACCGGTTCGAATTCTATTTTGACTCTCTCCATGACAGCATTACGGTCCTCTTGAGTAGTGCTCTTGCCTCTCTTGCCATTAATCTGGATTTCGAGCCTATGACCCTTTTCCAAATGTGCTCGTGACTTGGCTAGTTTGTGGGCCAGTCGTGTGGATCTGTTCCCCAATTGAGTTGAAGTTCCTTTGTCGAAAGTTCATTTGTCTTCTTTGCTTGCTTGGCTGCTTTGGCCTTTTCATACAACTCTTTTTTACTAAATAGTTTGCATTTAGGGGGTCTTGCACGCGAGTCCACCTCAACAAGGACGTACTGTGATCGATCAAATGTCTTGAGAACGTGTCTGAGCTGCTTCTCGCCCTGGTTGCCCTCAGGCGTGATATACTGGATCCAGGTTGACTCGATCTCTTCGTCACGGCGTGGTCTATCAGGGACTGGGCGCTTGCTCCCTCCTTCCTCATCTTGATCACCACCTTTTTTTAGGCCTGTATAAGCATACTTTTGGGCCCCTTTGCAGCAGCAGCATCGATATTACTACTTT